ACACACACACACACACACACACACACACACACACAATATATATATATATACACACACTTTTATATATACTTTTCCCCCCACAAAATCTGTAATTTTCTGTCGCTGTTTGGATGTAGTAAATTTTCTACACAGTCATCGTTGCATTTTCTTCTGTCACTGGCCATAATTCTTACCTTGGAATCCGAATTAAGATCAGAATTTAATCAGAATTAAATCAGCTGAGAATTGAACAAATAGCTAGGAATCATGTCTTTGTGACAGTTTTTCTGGTGATTTTGGAATCTTCACCTTCCAAATGGCTGTTGAAACAAAAAATGCTATGAAGTAAATCATATTGTGTAAGAAAGTGTGACGTGCTAGACCAAAACGGGCACTATTTTTGGAATCAGCACCTCAAAATAAGTAGGACACATAATTTGACATCATTCAGCAAATATAGTGAAATTGATTTGCAGTTATTTCTCACACCTGTTGCACCACAGCAGCGGCCAGATTGGCTCCTGCGCTGTCACCTGACACAGCCACTCGTTTCGGGTCTATGGAGTACCGACTCAACACCTCGGCTGTCAGGATGTGTTTGGAGGCCTGAACGGCTTCGTTATACTGATCTGGGAAACGTGCCTCCGGGGCCAGCCTGTACCTGAACATACAAATTATATGTTAAGTGACAGCTGGTAGTTAATGTAATTAAAGCTCTAAATGGATGTAGCAATAAAATTATACAGTAGAGAATTGCTTACTCAATTGATATTACAACTGCATCCAACTCTTCAGCCATAGACCAGCACTGAAGGTAATACGTTTGCATCTCTTTAAAGAAAAAAGGAACAAAAGTTAAAACATAAAATATTTTTTTCCTCACTCCTTGTGTGTACAATATCCAAAACAGAAAAAAAGTTTATTTATATGAAATCACATGCATTTTCACTTACTTCCACTGCCGAGTGTCCATCCACCTCCATGGAAATAGACCACACCTCTTTTCAAAAGTGGCTCTTGGTCTGCTGCTGTGGACTCAAACACTTGTGCCTGCACTCCTCCAAATGACGTTTCTGTGACCCGGATTGCTGGGCTGGACTGTGGACCCTTTATTTCATCCCATGATGCAGCATATTTTGCAATATCAAAAGGTCGACTCAGTCCAAGATCGTGAGCTAAAAAGCTCTATGGAAAAAAAAGACTACAAGTTAGAGGGATCAGAGAGCGGGATTGTTAAACACTCTCTAAAGGTCAGCAAATCTCTTTAAGAAAATGTCTTTTATTCTGAAGGGACATAAGGAATGTTTTTTTTTTTAAACATTACAGGCTCAAATTCCATATCTTTAATTTGTATTATTGAGAGCTATTAGATTTTCTATTTAACAAGATTAACCAATCATATATGGTAAATTGAAACACATAAAATGTTTGGTGATTTGAGCATTTAGAGGTCAACAATTAAAATAATACAACATTTATAGAAATGTCAAAAACGTAATAACTCTTTTGAAATGATACTCAGTAAATTTGTAACTCAGTAACTAAGTAAAAATAAAATAGTGAAATAACAAATGATCAAATATTTTTTATTAGATTTTTTTAGACAAATTAGACAACTTCTTAATTGTAGCTTTTTGTTGTTAGAAAATATATACTTTATATATTGTTAGTAAAAATATGGTGAAAAGACAAATAAGCAAATTTGACAAATAATCAATATTTTTGAGACAAATGAGACCATTCTTCATTGTAGCTTTTTATTTTTTATTTTCTTTCGTTTTCCTTTACAAAAGTTATTGTTAGAAAAAAAACATATATAGAATGTTAGTGTTTTTATTTATTTTGTTTTCTTAATTAAGTTATGACCTTCATTTTTGTTCATTCCTAGAAAACAACACGTATAAGGGTTTAAACTTTGATCAGGCATATGTCACCCATTTTTATTTATGTTTAAATATTGAATCAACATTTAAATGACAATTATGCATACTTGTATAATGTAGCCTATACATTATATAACGGAAACAAATGCGAAGCTTACCACATGCATTACACCACGCAATATGGAATCCATAAACATGAGTTTCCATGGCTCTGATATAGTGCTGGGCAGAGGCAGATAAATATAATAAGCAGCTGCTACTGACAGTAAAACCGCCACGATCCAAATGGACCGCATCATAATTATAGTTCCAGTCAAAAGAACACAAGAAACTCATGAAACTATACCGGTCTCAGAGCTGACATAGTGACTGACTGCATGATGTTGTAATACCTCATCTGACCCCAGAGAGCAGTGGTTTTGAAATCACTGCACATTTTACATTAAAAGTCCTCAGGTATGAGAACTCTAAAGCCATCGTTTGTAATTTTGTGAAGTTGATATATGCTATTATTTGTTGATGGTTCGCGTTTATTTACTACTCTTGCTTTTTGAATATATAGAAAAGCACGCAAGTGTTTAAATAAACGACATCTGACGTTGATTACATTTTTTTCCCTACACTGTATTCTGCTAGTAGATGGTGACTTTTATTTTGAAAAGCTCCTTACGTTCTGTCATGTAACAGTTGTTTACATACGCCACATTGGAATGTACTGTATATCAGACATCTGTCAGACCATTTTGTGATGTAGCTGATATATGCACCTTCTGTAAAAAAGAAAGTGAAGATATTTGTCATTTATTTTTCTCTTGTAATGTTTCATCACTTTTCTGGAAAGATTTGAGCTCCCATTGTTTTTCTAAAGTTATTATGAACTGTAATTTACACATTAAGGATGTTGTTTGCTTTTTTGAAAACCAAAACAAATCTTTAGAGTCTACTGTTAACTTGCTTATCCTTGTGGCAAAATTCTATTTTAATAAACAAAGGTTTCTTAGGAAAACACCTACTTTGATAGATTTCTTATGTGAAGTAGAACATTTAATTAAATCACTAAGAGTAATTGATAGCAAAAAATGTATTTCTTTTTTGAAGAGATATGATGAGATATTTCATGTACCGTGATTAATACTTGTTTTGGTGTTTTTTTTTTTAATCCTCTTCTTTGTTCCGTTCCTGCCTTTCTTTATGTTCATAAAAAAGCTATTTAAATGCATCTTTCTCTTTTAACAGTCATTGTCAACTTTTTTTCTTCTTCTCTTCTCTTCCATATGTTCAGATGACATTGGATGTATCGTTGAAACATTATGTGTAATGTATGCAAAGTTGTATTTCATTAATGTCATCTCTGAATTGTTTGCAATAAAAAAAAACATCTGTCAGCCCAACAGTGAAAGCACTACACATGTTATACTATTTTACTGATTTGACTACAACTGCTATTACTACTACTACTACTACTACTACAATTCTTGTTATAGAGTTATGTAGCCTAAAACTAACATTACTCATCTTGATAATTCTGCTCGTTTAAAATGGTCCTGGTGTGATAATGTATGCTTCATGGTTAATGTCCTGATAAAGCATGGTTTAATCCCAGTCTGTGAACAAATCTCTGAAATATGAGATCTGATCTGATTACTGTAGTAGTTCTAATGACCACTAAGTGGCGATGTACTTTCTCTTTTACAATATGGTCACCTATTCTTTTCACACTGATTACCATACTTCCATAGAAATATATGAAGCTTAAAAAACCCAATTAAATAGGCTAGCATTTCAACTAAAGCCAACAATGTAGATTTTTCACTCGTATGTACTGTTAATGTCAATCACATTATTATAACGAGTTATAACAAGTTTAATTTGGCCCACAAATCAGGAATTATGAGTTTGGAATAGCATGCATTTCGAGCTATAACAGTACAATAAATATTAGATTTAACACTGTACGGTAATGTCACCGTGTGTGTAGCCATGGAATATGAGAGTGAAATTATAGATAGATTCAACCATTGGGGATTTTTAATGACATAGTCCTAAACAAAATCCTGTGTATCATGTTTGAGGATGTGGAACGTACAAACAGGAACTTAATAAGTTTGTGGACAAAGCATGTGAGTTTTAAACCAATGATGAGTTTTACATCAATTGTATGTTTGTATATTTAAATAATAACATTTATTATTATTATTGTTGTTGTTGAAGTTACAGTTCGCATAGAAATAAATACAAATATTTATTTATGCCTTTATGCCTTTATTCCACAACACCAACCAATTCTTAAAACATTTATTAAACTGGTTTGTTTTCACTTTGGCCTCGTCTATCCTAACTGAACAATCTGTTCTAACATGCTCTTTTGTCTCCATTGTCAGTTCTGATTCCGGTGACTGATGGAATGGTACGGGGGAGTATTCGGTGTTATACGGTAAACTTCTACACCCCCCCGCCCCATGTGCACTTCCACATATTTGACATTGCGGAATTCCTCACTGGTCTGGTCTGGTCTGGTCCACCGAGGACTTCGCAGCAACGGAATGACATGCTTTCTGTTATGAGCATTTAGGGACTAACGTGTTAATAAGCAAGCTTGACTGAATCCGAGGTAAGTAGACGAGTTGTGTTCAAAATATTAACGCTGTAGGCTAATGTCATTTTCCGAAGCGCTCTGAGACACTGCAAAGTTTCAAGTTGCAGAAAAGCGCGAGCCGGTGACTCTATGATGGGAAAGGGAAGTCTTGAACTGAATGGAAAACGAAACGAAACGAAACCTAAACGAAACGTAGTGCGTTAAACTCTTTTGCGTGAGCTGATTTACTTTACTTTTATTTCTGTCTACTTTGACAGCTGTATGTTAACTAGTGAATACTTCAGTTGTTAGGTTATGTGCATCCTGTGTGCTTGAATTTTATGCAGGGAAAAAGTCATTCGTAATCATCATTAACGCTGCTTTATCAAATTCAATGACACTTGTAATGCTCAGGTGAGAATTAACAGAGGCTTTTATAACATAAATCTCATATTCGCTATTGTGATTCTGGCCACTGCATTTTTTCTATTATTCATTATGAAACTTGTTTTTTTTTATCAACACAGGGGCCTGTTTGTATCATTTCAACATGTTACATTCATATGCCTTTACCTATATAACATTTCCAAATGCCAAAGACATTTGGAAAATGACACGTCAATTCCCAGCAAGAAGTTATTGTTTACTTGAGCGTCACACGAATCATATTCTTTCGTAATGGCTGAATTGTTACATCATTGACATGAGCATGACGTATGTTGTATATTCTATAGATAAAATCCAGATTCCTCTGCATTGCCATTATAATAACATGCACTTGACTTCAGATAAGCGTTCTAATATGTGAACTTGCATTGTAGAATAGCGTTCTTATTGATTTGAATCGTTTAAATGATTCAATTGAACCTTGAACCGATTCACAAAAAGGGTCTAAACGATTCGTTCTTTAATAGGACTGAATCGGTTTTTGCAGTTCTTTATAAAAACTTACTAACTCATTGGACCCGGGAAACATCTATTTCGCATGTTAAAATATAGAGCTGACAGCTACCGTGTTTGAAGCATACTGAGGATTTCACTGGTGGGACGAAAGTTAGGCTACTTTAATAAGAGACATGTTTGATATACAAACACACACACACACACACACACACACACACAGAGACAGAGAAGATGTGTATTACAAGTAAAACCTATTGGAATCGTTTACAGGTTAATTATATCACCGTTTTTTTCATCGCACAGGGAAGCAGAAGCGTCACGTGATGACAAAATTATGTCACGACCGAAAGAATCACTGAATCGTTTTGTTGAATCGAATCTCAACGAGTTGGACTTTCGATTAGAGCATTTAAATGTTGTTTACTGTTTCCTTTAAGGACGATAGTGTTAAAATGTGAACAGTTGTGATAGAAAGAATACAGACTGTAACAAAATATGATTTAGGCAAACACATTCAGCTGGTGTCGCGGATCATTTCTTGGACCGGATCTTTTAGCCAGAGGAAACCCGATCCCAAATACATGACGTCATGTGACATTCCAGAGCGAATCTTGAGATACAGAAAGCAGACTTGTAGACTTCAGAGACTCCAACCTTTGCATCAAGCTTGATTTCTCCCCTTTTAGTTACCGCTGTAGTATTTATTATGAGTTGAAAAGTGGAAAATGTTCTGTAATGTGAAAGTTTTAAACAGCAGTGCAAAACATCTCTTTTATTATGTCAAACACAGGGTTTTGCAGACTAATATTGTATGTACTAAAGTTTTATTGTAAGTGATGCTTTAAATGATGTCCTGTAAAGAAAAGGCACATTTCTGTGGTGGTAACCTGGCCACAGGGTGAGCACTGATTTGTCAGCATCTCACACCCCCAGTAAAACACACAGGCGTACCCTGACCCCTCCCAATCCTACAGCCCTTTGGCCCCAAACTCAAACGTTAAAAGAATGTGGTGCTTGTGGGTATTTTCTAGAGTCCCATTCCATTCTTTGGCTCAGTATCCAGTTCTTGTGATAACGACAGGCTAGGGTGCTATACGTGCCATTTTCCCAGGACGCGTCCTGGCCAGGATTTCTATATTGCCTAAAATATCTAGGTTTTGGCTTTGTTTGCATGTGCAGACCGATCGGTGTTTTACCCTGAGGGTAGCTGAGATCTTCTAATGAGAAACTCATGGTACATTTGTAAAACATTTAGGCAAGGCTTTTAGCACAGGGAAGGGTGGTGGTGTTTAAAGATCTGGTTTAGGAATGGGTGATTCATGGAGAATTGCTGTGAACCCTGATCACCATCATACCCTTGAGCAAAAAACCCACAGTTCCCTCATTCAGTGTTGTTCTGTGGGATTTCCCCCCCACTGTTTTCGGTTATGGTTAAGGATTCAAACAAACCCATAAGTATGAGCAAGTAGTTCCGGTCCTTGAATTTGATTGGTCTAGCAGTGTTCCAGAAGTGATGATGTAGTCCAGTAGCACTAGGACTTCTCTGTGTTTGCATGAGTCATTCATTCAACTGATTTGTTCAAATTCACTGATTCTTTCTGGAATAAAAAGAACCGACTGTCTTTATGAATGAGTCATTGAATCAATTATGCAACTGATTTATTGTGCAGACTCTTGCTATTTATAAAATTCATCCATTTTCTCCTTAGGGAAATTAAAGAAAACTAACCAAATGTGAGCTATGAGATTGTTTATTCTAATGTATGCTTTTATTTAAGCCATCAAGACATATTATTTTGAATTAGTTTTTGAAATAATTGTTTTTAGCAGCATAATTCCTGGTTTTGCACGGGCAAGAAATCTCCACCAGTTAAAATTAACTTCTAAATGATCTTTTATAGTTATCCCTCGTTAATTTGATT